TTTATTTTTTTATATAAATTAATAATAAAACACTTGAAACTTTTGAACCTAATAACATCAAGTTAGGTTTAACTGCATCCCCTCCCCAAATAACAATTCGAATGCGACCCTTTGCTTAAAAAAAAAAAAATTATATCATTAATATGAATCCATAAAAAATAATTCTATCATTTAATTCATTAAGATCAATTAAGGTTAGGAAAGCGAGAGAGGGCGGGCTGGCGGGCGGGTGGGTCTTTGACTGAGATTGTTAGGTGGAGGAAATGTTGACAGGTATCGAAAGGTCAGAACTCAGAGTTCTAATCTTCTTTAATTTTGAAAAGGATTGAAGAGACGAAGGGGGTTGTTTGTTTGGAGAAAAAATGACATGTAGAGTTATAGGATGATGGTGACCTTTCATGGTAGGTGGATATATTTTAATTATACATAAGAATGCCCAGGTGGAAATGACATGGTTTCGAATAGACCAAAGTGATAGACTAACAACATTTTTTAAACATTAGGATTAGAGGCATCCTGCCAATGTAAGAATCAAAGGTTGTTTAGTGAAAAACTGGAGGAAGACTGAGATTCTGCAGTGTTACATAACCTATTGTGAAATGAGGGCCTTACAAAAAATTCCCTAAATGAAGCACTAAACTATAGCAATGCCATCGTTCTTAACATTGTTCCAATTCTGTGTCTAGAAGTTGATTTTCTAGAGAAATTGATGAGGTAAAAGAAAAGGGGGGGTTCGGCTCACTGTCAAAAGAATTTGCGGCCGAAAACCACTCCATCAAGTTTCAAGCAGATACACTACAAGTCTATTTTATTCTGCTGGAACGGCCTCCTCCTCTACCTCTCCCTTCACCACGCCCCGAACCCCTGCCTCGACCAGAAAATTCACCCCGGCCTGCGTATTCATTTCTGACAAAACCTCGGCCACCACCATAATTTCCACGACTCCTGAAGCTGTCATTTCGATATCCTCCCCTTCTAGAAGGGAAAGTAACTCTTCCACCACTGCCAACTGGATGAAACGGAAGCACAGAGAGCTTTATTAGATAATAATAATAATAATAATAATAATGAGCTTACTCTTACAAATTTAATGCATAATCATCAACCATCTAGATTCTAATTTGTATGGATTTTTCAAACAAACTATTTCATTTCTGAATTTAGTGACAACAATCTCATTGACAAGTTTATGATATCATTTCAACTCACCTCGAGTTGAAGTCCTTTTTATCTCCACATCAGCTTGTCGTCCCCCAATAGTGAGTGGTGAGGCCTGGAATGTGAAAATCAAGTAGTCATAAAACACTACAATATAAACTGAAAAGAGAGATTAAAGCAACCTTAAAAGAGTAAGAAGTAAAACAACTACAACCAATGCCGATGCAGACACCAGTAAACTTTTTACTCAAAAGCTTGATCTTTATTGAACTAACTTTGCATAGTTCATGGATCATTCCTTAATCCTTACAAACTACAACTTTTGAGGGTTATGCTGCAAGTACCATCGGATAATGGAGAAAATGCCTAAAACAAGCCCTACGAGATGAATACAGAACTTTTTAATATTTTGAGCATGTGAGCTCTGCCTAGGCCATACATTTGTGTTTCTAGTTTCTATTTAGTAGTCAGGTGACTAGTATGTGACTTTTATGAGTTTTGATAGCTAGAATTGGGTGGACTTTATTCTTAATTAAGGATTGCAATCCCTAGCATAAGGAAATCCCTACAGAACTTTAGCCTTGACTTCACATTCTTATTGCATTTTATTCATTTATCATTTTCTTTAGCTCTTTTTATTTGTTTCACTCTCTATCACTCTTAAAAATTAGCAGGTAGACTTGACTTTGATGGCAAAAAAAATAAGGAGTGTAAACAAACAACCATGAAATTTCTAATATCAACATAAACCAGTAACTCACATCAATGAGGACATACCTGGATTGCATCATTCATGGAGCTCAAGGAAAGAAATTCAACAAAACCAAAACAGTATCCTTGTTGCTGAATGAAGAAAAAAACGAGATATCAATAAATGAAAGTAAGTGGGGAAAAAATGTCTAGTCATGTAGTGCATTTGAAACCTACCCTATTATTTCTAACTTGGATTCCTCCCTGTTTGATAGGTCCGAACCTCTTGAACTCCTGCTCAAGCTGAGTAGGAGTCACATTGAAGGGCAAATTACGAATGTAAATGGAGTAGCCCTCAGCTGTAAGTGGAATAAATATATCATAGAAGTAATCATTTCAGAAACAAGTAAAAACCAGTATCACAAGAAAAAAGGTGCGTGATTCTATTATTCCCATTATGACAATTCAAAACACTCCTGAAAAAGAATGTAAAAGGGTTATTAAGAAAAACACACATGTAATACCTTCCTCATGATTGTTGTCATTCTCAGGCACATCAACGCTACCAGGTGCAGCTATTTCTGGTGAAGGAGGTGATGCCAAAGCAATAGGCTGGTTCTCAGTTTCCTTTGGTGTTACTTTTGCAGGATTAGTAGGTACATAAACTTTAATTGGCCCTAGACTCCCTTTAGTTACTTTCACCTACCAAAAACTAATAAGCTTCAACAAGTAATTGAATGCAAAGACTTACAGCCAAAACACTTTTGATTTATAAACTCACAATTGAGGCATAAGATTTCTTTGGAGCATCTTCCTGGGCAGAAGAGGAAGCTGATTCACCAACAGGAACTTCATTTCCATTTGACCGTGACCAGGACTCTTCAGTATTTACTTTTTCATTTCCTTGCTGTATCTCATTGTCTGATGGCTCATAAGCTTTCTCAGCCACATTTTGATGCTCTTCCGCATTAGAAGTTGATACGTAAGGGGCAGGAGGCCTGGGAACATGAGCTGGCTCTGGAAGCAAAGATTCAAAAAATACTGGAAGATTTCTTGATAAAATAATAAGGAAAAAGTAAAGACAACAATAACAAAACTTTACCAGCCGTGGGCATTGGGGAGGAGGCTCTAGGCACATCTTCAACATGGTTAACTTTAGGATTCTCCAATGGTTCACCATCTTCTAAATACATAAATAAATCATTTAGAACAAAGTACCCGTTGTCTTGTGGAGCAAGGAAAAATGATTGTGCAAATTTCCTTTTCAAATTATCCTTGCCCGTTAAGCAGCCAGTCACTAACACAGTTACTCCTTCCTTATAAGATTTCTGAGCATCAGCAGTTTTAATCTCTGCCTTATAGTTCTTGTAATCCAGGGAAAGAATCTTCTCATTGATACCCTGTTCAAAAGAAAAAGGATAATACTGTCACTCTTAGCAGTGGTCAACACAGAGAGTAAGTAGAGTGCAAGCAATTAAACCAAAGAGTAGCTGAAAATCATGTTTTTCAACTTCAAAAAGGGAAAACAAAAAACAATGAGGGGAAGAAAGAGTGAGTGAATTGCAATAAACTACTTATTAGAAGAATGAGAAGAAAGAAAGATATGCAAATGCATAGAGAATTAGACACAAATCGCTCTATGTTAGAGATAAATGCAAAGATAAACAGAAATTGAAGAAATGAGAACATGATACCCAGTTTTGGCATAAACTGAAAGAAAAGCAATAAGTCAAACTCTAACCAAGATAGACCAACAATACGTACCATGATAGAAATAACAAAGCAGAAACTAACAATTTATGTCCAAAAGAAATAGATGAAACCTATAATAAAAATGAAATTATGCTCTCAAACATACATTACATTGAAGACAGGAAAATACTGTACATCAATGATACGCTAGTGGGTCAAAGATAGACAAATCGTCAAATTATTTAACATGCTAAAATTTCCAATGAAATAGCTGTGCTTCTTGCTATAAAACATAAGTATTCCAGAAAAATTGCCTGCTTATTCAGTGTAATCATTTTACTCCAATAGAGTGTTATGAAGTCAAAAATAAGGGTTTTCTAAGGAAGCACCTAAACACATAATACCAATAATGAAAAAACCTGAATGACAGGCTGCCCAAGGACCTTACTTGCATTGTCGTGACCGATGTCATTTGCCCATTGATATCTGGTCGGCTAAGAACACTTGAATCTTGATAAAATCTATGAACCAATTCCGGTGAGTGATGTAGAATATGGTAATACTGCTCAACAAAAGCATTGCCAATCACTTGGGCACTGGGAGTGGTTGGGGGGTTTGATGTCTGTAAAGCCATCTGCCAAGAAAAAAATGAATCAATATAAAAACCTTGATATCTTCAAGGTCAACTAAAATAAGGTTAGGATTTGGCATAGCATAGCACAATCATGCCAAATTGCATAATATTGTAAGTCAGAGAAAAGCAGAAGCATGATACTCCATCACAATAGTGTCTAATAAAATCTATGATTGTAGGAACCAATTATAAGAACAAATAAAGTCTAATGAATTTAATTTTCAGAAAACTAGGATGTCTACAAAAGACTTATATCCCGTACCATGATTCCTGTACACATGCACTGCCTACCTTGAACCAATTATGCTGTAGATATCCATACAATGGGACAACTTTACTACAACCAAGGATGCAAGACAGCATAAAACCTTAATGTTATTCTAGAGAAGCAATAGAAATACATTGGGAAGATGAAAATGCTGACAGAAGCAAAATAAAAATTAGTTAACTATAAAGAATTTTTGCTGTCAATTGCTAAGAAGACTAACAACCAACGGTAGACTTGATCGCTTGTTATTCACACTTTAAAGTGAACAGAATAAGAAAAAAGCTTGGTAGTTACTATGCCAACATTCTCCAAGAATAGGTCCAATACACAGTATGGTTGCATTCTACCAGAAACCCCCAAAGCATAAATGAAATAATCAACACATTCTTATGAAAACAAGAACCAGCAAGTTTGTGCAAAGAGAATGAAAAAAAGTTTGGATCTTTAAATCAAAAGCAGCACATTCCATGGATCCATAGAGCAGGAACTGACAAACTAAACCCTAACCTCCCCCGGAATCACTAAACTGAAAGTACCCACCAAAAAAATTAATTGATATTAATAAATCAGCCAATATTACTCTAACAGTAAAACCAATCACTAAAAATGCTTTTAAAAAACTCAAAGCAAATCCACTAAATTCATGAAAGCCTAACCATTATAATGTCAAATTAAAAACCCCACAATGAGAAACGACACTTAAGAAATACATATACCCACCACCGAAAGAACCCACATGAACAATTTCCCGATAGAATAATAAACATGATTCGAATGAGGCAGAAAATGTATTTAACGAAGTAATGAAACGCGAGACCAAGGATGATCTGTGAGGAGAGGAGCTAGAAAATACCTGTAATGGAAATGCTGAAGCTTGGGAAATCTTCGATTTGATGAAAAGGAGTGAAATAGTACAGTGCTTTGGCTTGTAGAAGGAGAACGAGGGAGAAGGCAAGAACAACAGGTAGCTCACAAACAAAGGGAGATACTGAAAGCTACATGAGAACTGTGAATGTATTTTTCCTTTTACTTGGAGACTGGAGAGGCCGTTGGGGCCCCGGTTCTATTTTTGTGGCTTTTGATATTAAAGGTGTTTGTTTATTTAAGTTGCTGACTTATGTCCTTAAACTTTCCAAATATTCATTTTGGTCCTTTAAATTCTTTTAAACCTTTATCCTTTTTCTTTTTTCTTTTTTCTTTTTCCTTATTTTTTTAATTTAAGGTTTGGGTTGATAATCTCTCTCCTCCCATCCATAGCTATATATTATACAATTTAAATCTAAAATTTCTTTCTTTTATTAAAAGAAATTGTCATTGATTGCTTAAGTTATTATTAGTACTATTTTAATCTTTAAAATTTAACAAAATTTGTTATTTTTCTAATTTTTTGTTTTTTTCAAAAAATAAATATTAAGAAATACTACTAGATTCGCATACTTTTGAAATTTCAATGTGCATGGAGAAATTCTTGCATCTATGATTTAATCAAATTTGGGAATTTACATGCTTCTCTCCATTACACACAGGGGATGCCCTTTGAACAACTACTAGCTTTCCATTAAACAAAGAGAGCAAAAATCTCCATTTCATACTTTCCTAAAGCTAAACCAACCTCAAACCCACCATTCCCATCTCCACTCTTAGCCAATGATATGGCTCCAGACCTGTCTATTGACACAATCTCTACCTTTTTAGGCCTTCACCATCCAAAATCCAAACCATAAACATCAAATCGGGGCGACCCGGTAACTGTGGTTATTTCCAATCCTTCCTTAACAAGATCCCAGTAGTCAATCTACTTGTGTTCTGCTCCTTCAAAAAGCCGACCCCTTTCTAAACCTTCAATATCTTGACTTCTCTGCAATAAAGGCTAATCCATTTCCATCAAAAGAATCTCTTGCTTTTCCCTCCTGACCGTGCGTGCTAACACAATTTCCGAAATAATTTCCCGGTGAGGAGGGTCTAAACGTGCCCTGTAATCCGCTGAAAACCTCCAAACAACAATTGTTTTGCTTTCTCCTCCTCTTGCTTTTACCATACAAAGTTATTGTACGTGCTAGTGCAAGCAAAAAGGTTGATAGATGAATTGGCTTTGTGCCGTCCCATTTGGGCAGAACTGTTTCTCTGAGTTTCTTGATGTTTTCGCAAGTGAGTTGAAATGTTGCTCGGACCAAATTAGGAGGCAAAACTCTTAGATTTTGGGAAACCTAGGCTTTTTTTGTTTGGGTCTGAATCCGAGGATGTAAAAGCTAACCATTGATTCAAGTACAACAGTTCAAGCCCGGCAGGATCTTTGATAATACTCCTATCAAAAAATGCACT